AGCACCACCGCATTGAACTTGCTCCCCGTCCTCCTCACCAAAAATCGGTACAACTGCAACGTGATCAACCCATAAATACACGTTACATCATTTGATGCAAAATCTCACTCGTCATTTGATTTTTCTGCTCAGAATAAATTTTAAGAAAAATATAACAGAAGTGAACGAACCTTGACGAGGAGTTTGAGGTAAATATCATTAGATTTAGGGGCAGTCCTCTTGGTCTTCTTGCTCTTACCTCCGGCAACCAAATCAATACCCTTTAACAAGAAAAAGAACAAAAGGAAATTGATAAGTTCTCGAGATTTAAATATAGAAAGATTAAGGGATGCTTCTAAAACGGCATCGTACCATTGATAGTGCTGCTGCTGCTGCTGACGCTTCCGATCTCCGCGCCTGCTCGAAGTAGACTGAATTTTCGGCGGACAAATGAAGGGGTTAGGTTTTTGTAGTGCTCTAAGATGAGAAGGGAGAAGGCAGTGTTCTTAATCTTAATGGACCAAAACCCTAAGGATATTGTACGGCCCATCTGAGGCCCATCTGAGAAGGGAGAAGGCAGTGTTCTTAATCTTAAATAGTATTTTTTGAAAAATATGTAATTAAAAAAAATTATCTGTAAAATATTTTATTGTGTGAATGTGCATATTTACTTGTGGCCTTAAGAAGTTGCAAGCATTCTCTATGATGACTGAGTTTTTGGATCCATAAAAATGTTCTAAGTCAGAATTTTCCGAGCTACTTCTAGTTAGAGCATAAATTTCATTTGTGTCTTTACCTTTTTCTTTAAAGTCGAGTGATTTTAATCGAGCGCCTAATGCCTCGATCAAATCATCTTTCGAGGTTTTCATTTTTATTTCTAAAAGCTCTATAGTGGATTGAAAAAATAGGTTTTTCGATTTTTAAGTATGAAAAATACATTAAATTAAAGTAAAGCATATCAAACGGGGACTTAGGTATTGGATAACGAGCAAGAGCAATTCCAATAGAATCTTTTATAAAGAATATTTTGTGCATAATGATAATAAATTGGTCACTGTTTGATAGAAATTAAAATCAAATTTTTAGCAAGTTTTGATAAAAGTTAATAAAAAATTTAGTTAAAAAATTGTGAATTATAAAATATGTTGTTAAAATTAATTGTTGACTTTGATATTAATAAAAATCTAAATTTTAATTTCTAACAAATAGGGATTGAATTTTAAAATCTATAGTAAAAATTTTTACACACCACAACAATGCTATTCATTTCGACTTTATTGAGTTGAGATGTGTTATTTAAAATTGACTGTTCAACTTGTTGTCAACCATTATCACACCATTTTACACGTATTTTTAAGCACAAATAACAGTGAGAGAAAAGTATATATCTTAATTTAAAGTGACATATCAATGAACCATTTGGTGGATAGCAAGTTGGGCAACCAATTTTGAACAACATATCTCAATTCGACTTTATTTCCCTTATCTTCTATCTAACTTAATTCTTTTATATGTTAATTGTTAATCAATTTAAACCCATGTTTGGTGGGAATTAAAATCAGATTTTTAATAGACTTCAATAAAAGTTGATAAAATATATGGTTAAGAAGTTGTAAATCTCATAAAATATGTTATTAAAACTAATAATTAAATTTAACTTAGATCCTACCAAACATGGGCTAAATATGATTTAAATATTGAAGTATTGGAATCTGCAATTTTTTAAAGGAAAAATTGCAATTGCGGTACCAAACCTTTCATTTTTTTGCGGATTTGCCCAAACCTTTGTTTTGTGCCACCCACGGTACCAAATCTTTAAAAAATTCGCAGCTACAGTACTCATTGACCCCAGGATTCAAAAAAAAAAATTGATTAATTTTTTTTATCAAGCCTTTGTTTGATTAATGAATTTTTTGAAACAAGGGCAATTTTTTGAATTCTGGGGTCAACCAACGATTTTTCTTGGTCAAACGGACGGAAACCATCAATGAGTACGGTATCTGTGAATTTTTTAAAGGTTCAGTATCGTCGGTGGCACAAAATAAAGGTTTGGGCAAAGTTTGCAAAAAAATGAAAGATTTGGGACCGCGACTGCCATTTTACCTTTATTGATTTTTTGTTTTTTTTAACATATATTTTAGATATCAATCAACAATCAATTCAAGT